AGATCGTTTATTTTCTTCATAAGTCTGTCCAGGAGTTTCTCGCCGCCAGGTTCGTTGTCGAAGAACTGACCGTGAAGAAGAATGGAACTGTCACCTGCCTGTCAGGAATGGATACGTTTGAGAAATCAAGGAAGATGGCTGAAGTGCTAAAATTCGCATGTGAGTTGTCATTAAAAGCTGCCGGGATTCTTTTTGATCATCTACACGACGTTGGAGAGAAAGAAGGTCTCACAAGTTACCAGTTCACTAAGGCACCTTCTAATTATGATTTGTCTTTAGAACAACAACGGTTTATTATACTCTGTGTCGATTGTTTGTTTTTGTGTCCAGCCTCAGACAGAACAGCCGTGTATTCTGCATTTCTCTCATGTGTTAACCATGTTGTGATACTTACGGGAAAAAACACGTCTACGGCTGCTGTAGAACACTTCTTCAAATCTGTCAGCAGTTTCCCAAACTATTTATTTTTTTTACAGAGGCGGCTGATTCAACATCTTCCCGATGATGTTCTATCAATAATGTTAGACTTGAACGCGGTCGTTTTAACGTCTTCTGGAGAAAGTAAAGATGTACAAAAGTACGCGGATTTACTCGTTGGGAACTCTTTCCTCAAAAAATCCGGAGGGAGAAACTTTGTCGATCTAATTGACATAACAGATGAGGATTTTCATTCTGAATTGCTTCCTGAACTGATATTAGCGCTGGTTTGCTCTTCTCAGCCACCTCTGAATAATTTAGTAAATAACGAAAACAACAACATTGATGTGCCTTTGACTGAGAACCACTGTTTGTCACTGGTGCCAAAGATTAAATTTGATATTGAAACAGTTGAGGATGCTGTTCTGTTGAAGAACGTGTTGCCTTTAGTAACAGCTCCTCGAAAAATTAGAATAAGGACTCTATGGGAGGAGGAGGAGGAAGCATTTGATCAATTGATTGAGAGCGCGATTAACGGAATTAATTTTACTGACAATCTCCACAAGTTACAATTTTTCGACATCAATACAGCAGCAAAGTGTAAAGCTTTTATCTCTGACTCACTGCAGCATTCTCCAAATTTGCGTAAGCTCGACCTGTGCTTCATCCCTTTACATAGAGGTGTGAGTCATTTGGCTGAGAATCTTCATCACGTGCCACAGTTGACGAAATTAGTGTTGGGGAGTGTACAAATGGGAGAAAAGGAATGTGCGGCACTGGCTGCCTCATTAAAGTACCTAAACAAGTTAGAAGAACTGGATATACGCGACAATGCCCTGGGTCACGGGGTTATTGAACTGGCCAAGAGCCTGAACAATGTACCCAATCTGACTGAGCTGGACCTGAGGAATACAAATATGGGTGAAGATGAAGCATCAGCACTGGCCCATGCACTAAAGTATGTGCCACTGCTGAGATATCTCAATCTAACATACAATCCACTTGGCCGCGGGGTCAGGGATCTGGTCCAACATCTCAGCAGTGTTCCTGAGCTGCCGATTCTGTACCTGAAAGGTGTTCAGATGACAAAGACAGAATTTGAAGAGTTGTCTACAGCAGTAAATGAGAGAAACGTTTATTTAGACACCGATTACCATGTAAGTGCCACTTTGTTGTTTCACTCAGTTGTTATGTATCTAATTTTCGTTTAGATGCTCTTCAGCAGACCACTTGATTATGTTTCCAATAATTTGCTTTGAACTCAATTAATCAGATTCTTTTTTGTGAGAAATGCGTAGCTTGTTCAAAGATGATTTCAAGAAAAAAAAATGACGAAGATTAAATTTAGTGACTTCCAAATGACTTGATATTTCCTGATTACACAATAATTGAAAACTTTGGGAGTTCATTCGATTGACCTTTGCTTTGCCTGTGTAGTTACGCCTTACTTGAGAGAGAGAAAAAAAGACGAGTTGTGAGAATTTTTCTCTGACCAAACTCCTCTGCTCAGTTTTGAATTTTGAAATTGTTCAGCTTCTGTTGTTATTGTGGGATGTTTTTATTTGTTTATATTTAACGAGAAAGGATTGTTCAACCCAGACATGCTTTGAATTCGATGAAGTTGTTCCCTACATTCTGTTCCGGCATATATTCACTTTTGCTATCAAGGAGCGTGAACCTCAAAAAATATAAATGAACAAACAAAAGGGATTTTTCCTTTTTTAAAATCCGAATTCGTTTTTTTTAAAGTGAAAGTCACGTTGATTCTATTGTCATATCTTCACGTCTTAAAGGTTTGTACCGATGATAGGAAATAATTCACCAAACGTTGAAGGTGTAGTGATTGTCATCCTAAACGAAACTGGCACGGTGTTATAATTTACTGGGACTTAAATGGTTTCCTTATACTTATTTATCAGTTGGATTCTTTTCTTCTTTGGATTATTTGCCCGTGTTGAGTAATTCTGTCAGTTGCTCGTAGAGGGGGGANACACTCTTAAATTCACTGACAAAATTTATTTGGGTAATCAGGAGTTTAATTTTTGAAATTTTTAGGCTTGTGTTGTTTTTGTGGGATGTGTTTATTTGGGTTTTTATTTGAGAACCCCGCCAATAAACAACTAAAAAGCAAAACAAATCATTTTAAAAGGCGCGACCCGCGACACGCGACCATTAGTCAAACTCGGCACTGTGTTATTATTTACTCGCTCTTGAATGGTTTCCTTATTCTTATTTGTCAGTTGGATTCTTTTCTCTTTTGGCTACTCTGCTCGTGTTTCGTAACTCTGTCAGAAATCAGGGCCCATCGGTCTCCTGCATCGAATAAGCTCATTTTTGAAGAAAAATTAAAGAACAACGTTGTTGATAATGAAGTTGTTAAACTTACTATCGTTTGTTTGTTTCTGCTTGGTCTCCCGTAAATCCTAACAAAATATTAAGTGTTAAACTTCAATTTACCACACACCGTGGAGTTTATTCTGTGTACGGTTTACGCTGCTTCCCATGTTTCTATGACATCGCTGAACGTAAACAACTTTTTGATGCGAAACTCTTACTACCATCGCTAGAATAAAAGATCTGCCTACCTTATAATTATTCGCTGCTCGTCTTGTCTTTTCTGTGGAAAGTGGGCATTTTTAATTTTCTTCGAGGAATACTGAAATGCTGCATTATCCTTCTCATCTAAAAAAAAAAAGAAAAAAGCAGACAATTAACTTGTGTGGCATGAAATGATAAGTTAGGAGGCGTTAGTTGAGCGGAGCACAAGTGTGATACCTGAAGTTGGTTTTGATTTGTTTTGTTTTGTTTTTTATCATTATTATTTACTAGGTGTCTCGCAGTTACTTCAAACACGGAGTTTTGTCAGAATAGTACGGTTACGTTGAAAGGAAAACTCTATGCTTTTAGTAAAGCTGAGAAAAACATCACAACGAGAATCCCGGATCATCAAAAAGGAACATCTAGAGTTGAAATATGCCGACTAGGTGTGTTGTATGAGGAATGTATGAAGCGCGATACTCTCTTGCAAATTTCGCACGTTGCTACATCCTTCTACAACACACTTAGTCGGCATATTTTCGGACAATATCGACTACAACCTTCCCAAACAAGCGAAAAAGTGTGAAATGCAGACTTTCGTGTTATCGATCTGACGTCACATTACCCGTTAGAGCCATTCCCTTTTAAACTCGGTCGTGGGGTAAGATGGCGGCCGATTTTCCGTATTTTGACCGGGCGCAGAAAAATGAAGATTTGAGGAAATAAAAAAAATTTTGCACAGAAATACTCTAAAAAAATACGCTTACTGCGTTAAGCGAAAAAAAATTTTCGGGTTTGAGTGCACTTCAACTATTTGTCTTGCTTGAAAATGCAAGTTGAGTGTTACAAACATAATTGGTGCTGTGGTTGATATTGTTGCCTTTTTCCCTTTTTTTCTTGTGAGAGGTGTGGGAATCTTCAGGATTGAGGAAGTTCATCCCACGACGTCTTACAACAGTTGAGCTGAAAGAAAAAGGAATAAGGTTCAGAAAAGAGCCAGGTGATGATGATGATGATGATGATGAATTTGACGATGACTTTGACGGTAACTCTGGTGATGACGATGATGAGGAGGAGGACGATGAGGATGATGACGATAACTATGGTGATGATGATGATGATGAGCAGGAGAAGGAGGATGATGATGACGACGACGATGATGATAATGGTGTTGAGTGAGCGCTTGGAAAAAGGTTTCTATGGGAACTGATATATCGAATACGAGCAGAGTAGTAATTTTTCCAATCCACTTGGCCGCGGGGTCAGGGATCTGGTCCAACATCTCAGCAGTGTTCCGAAGCTGGCGATCCTGTTCCTTGAAGGTGTTCAGATGACAAGGACAGACTGTGAAGAGTTGTATACAGCAGTAAATGAGAGCAACATTAGTGTGTACACCGATTACCATGTAAGTCCCTTTTTGTTGTTTCACTCAGTTGTTATGCATCTAATTTTTGTTTAGATGCACTTCAGCAGAGCACTTGATAATGTTTCCAATAACTTGCTTTGAATTCAATTAATCAGATTATTTTTCGTGAGAAAGAATACAGTCTTCAGGAACAGTCACTGTTTTCAGAATTTTCTTTTTCTATTTTGCGATGTTAGGAGCCAATGTTGTAGCGGAGACCGTAACAAACCCATGCTAACTACTTTTATGGCTCATGCGTAGCTTGTTCAAAGATGATTTGAAGAAAAAAAATGACGAAGATTAAAGTTAGTGACTTCCAAATGGCTTGATATTTCCTGATTACACAATAATTAGAAACTTTGGAAGTTCATTCGATTGACCTTTGCTTTGCTTTGCTTGTGTAGTTACGCCTTACATGAGAGAGTGAAAAAAGATGAGTTGTGGGAATTTTTCTCTGACCAAATGCCTCTGCCCAGTTTTGAATTTTTGTTCGGTTTCTGTTGTTATTGTGGAATGCTTTTATTTGTGTGTGATTATTTAACGAGAAATAATTGTTCAACCCATACATGCTTTGAATTCGATGAGGTTCTTCCCTACATTCTTTGCCGGCATTCATTCACTTTTGCTATCAGGAAGCGTGAACCCCCAAAAAATATAAATAAGCAAACAAAAGGGATTTTTCCCTTTTTAAAAATCCCAATCCGTTTTTTGAAAAGTGAAAGTCACGTTGATTCTATTGTCATATCTTCACGTCTTGAAGATTTTTACCGATGATAGGAAATAATTCACTTTAAGTTGAAGGTGTAATGATTAACATCCTAAACGAAACTGGCACGGTGTTATTATTTACTGGGCCTTAAATGGTTTACTTGTACTTATTTATCGGTCGGATTATTTCCTTCTTTGGATTATTTGCCATGTTGAGTAATTCTGTCAGTTGCTCGGAGAGCTCCCCGGTCTCCTAGGTCTCAATGATAACACTATTTTGTTTTGAAAAATCACAGAGCAACATTGCAAATAATGAATTTTTCTTGAGTGAGTCTCGTATGTCTCTGTCTCAACTTGATCTTGCAATCGTCCTTGAAATAATCCAGAGTAATAATATTTTTTAACTTCAAGTTGGCAGACTGTCAAACGGATTCTGTGTACACCTCACGCTGCTATCCATGTTTCCTTTCTATCGTTGCCTGTTTGGATATTGTTTGCGGAAGAATTTGTTCGAACTTGAATGAAGAAAAAAATAAATTTAGTTTTCAAAACTTTGATACTACATATTCTGTCAGTAGTTTCGAGTATAGTAGACGAAGCTGTCCTTGTAGAACGAGGCTTCGTCGTTCAAACTTTGTGACGTCATTTGATTGTATTGGCCTTTGTTTTTGACGTAGTATTGAAAGAGAAATCTGTGAGAGAGAGAAGAAAAGATGAATTGTGAGGATTTTTCTCCTACAACATTTCTTTGGGTAATCAGGAGTTTAACTTTCGAAATTTTTAGGCTCGTGTTGTTTTTGTGGGATGCTTTTATTTGGGTTTGATTATTTGACGAGATTGTTAATTGTTCAACCCCTACATGCTTTGGATTCAATGACATTGTTCCTTACAATCTGTGCCAGCATTTATTCGCTTTTGTTAACAGGAAGCGTCAACCCAGCAAAGTAGAAATAACTAAACAAAGAGCGTTTCTGTCCATGTGTAGAATCCTTTTAAAGATTCCCGCTTTTAAAGATTCCCCGTTTTAAAGATTCCCGCTTTTAAAGATTCCCGCTTTTAAAGATTCCCCGTTTTAAAGATTTCCGCTTTCAAAGATTCCCCGTTTTAAAGATTTTCCATTTCCCATTCCCCATTCATTATTTCCTCTTTCCACATTCTCCATTGCTCGTTCCCCAATCCCCATTCCTCATTCTCCATTCTTCATTCTCCATTCCCAACTCGCCATTTCCATTTCCCATTTCATATTCCTCATATTCCCCCGTTTCCCATTCTCCATTCATCATATTCCTCCATTCACCGTTACCTGTTTTAAAGATAGACCTTTTGTGATCGTCTTGAGCAAAATTATTTTGGAAATTTGCCATAGATAAGCGGAAACTAGATACACTCCACTCTGATAACTTTGAAACAGCTGTTCCACAAAAAAACAACAAAGGCAAAGCGAATGCATTACAACAATCAAATGACTGAAATTTTTTTGAATTTTTATGTGGTCTAATCTGCCACGTTTTCAAGTTTTAATTATTTGTTTGTTTCCTGTTTTTCTTTTTTAAGTGGTCTTGATTTCAGATAGAAAAATACGAGAATTTGTATACAATCGCGTGCAAATTACCGTAAGCGAAGTCTCTGTCTAATTTCTTCTAGAAAAGAAATGGTTGAGGGCTCACCTGAAAATGAGTCGAGAAATATGGGTTCAAGATATGCAAGCTTTAACGGTATGCTATTTCTTTGATCACACTATTTCTATCAGCTATCCAGACGGCCTCTTTTTAATCAGCATGTTAAAAAGAATGTAGATTTTTTACATTCATCTGAATCAAGTTCGCCCTAAGTAAATAATAATGCGTTTGTAAGTTTATATTTGAACTTTATGGGCTATTCCTGTAGTCGGAAAGTAGAGCCGGAATCGAGAGACAAAAATTTGTGCAGAAATTTTCTTCCTGCTTAAGTTCAAGCGTGTTAGAACTTTCAGTATCAGTGGTAACTACTCTACATTGATCAGCGTCCAGTAAATTTAAGAAGGATTCTGAAATGAGAGAGAATATCCAAAGCGAAGAAAATTTTGTGGCTTGCCGATAAATTTAATGAATGAAAGTAAAATACTTTGCCTTCTGAATTCTTGAAAATACTTCCATTCATCAAAAAATTTTACATTCACTCTTTCATTCACTCGCAACCCTTTCTGTTAAAGTTGGAAGTAAATTTTAAAGAAGCTTGTTTACGTGGCTCAAGTCTGTTTTCTGATCTTCTTGAACAAAATTATTTTTAGTTTAGAATGGAAACACAGAAGCTGGATAAATTCCGTTCTTATTTTTTGCCTTTAACTTTGATACAGCTATTCTCTTATAAGCGCTAGAAAAAAATCAAAGTGAATGCATTACCACACTGTACTGGTAATGTGAGAACGACACCTTGTTTTCCCGTATCAATGACAGAAAGTTGATGTCAGTTTTTGTATGAGATCTGTCCACTTTAAATGTCGAAATAAGTGTCTGTTTGTCTGAAATTATTTTCAGGACCTTAGTTATTTCAATTTATTTTATTTACGGCTTTTAAGGGTTTGGAATCATGTCACTGAGGAGTTTTGAATTCATCAATTAAAAGAAAATTACAGTTTGACACTGTTTTCTTTTCCAATAATTAAACGCAGACGTTTCTTCTACAAAATTACCTTTTTGGGGAGCAGTTTTGTATTCATTTTGAATTCAGCAATTAAAAGAAATTTACAGTTTGACACTGTTTTCTTTTCCAATAATTTACACAAACGTTCCTTCTTCAAAATTACCTTTTCGGGGAGCATTTTTGTATGGAAAAACTAAGGTATTAGAGTTTTAATTTTTAAGTCATCTTAAAAACACCCCACGTTTCTCGGAAATTTTCGTTTTCGCTTCTTTCCTTTCATTGATAATCCTCACTTTTGCAATGGATTAATTGTAAGGTACATCTCGACGAAAAGCCAGATAAAACAGTAGAAAGCAAGATACAACATATCAAATGTAAGCAGAAAACCTTGGATAAAATATGTAAGAGATATTTTGATACGTGTCAGTTTTTAACCGTTTTCTTTTTCCTTGTGCCTAGGGAAGACCAATATATCACCGGTTTTTTTGTTTTTCGGCGAGCCAACAACTGACTCAAGCTTAGCAAATAAATGGTCAAATATTTTGGCAGTAAATCTTTGTTACATTTTAAACTTTGTGGAGTGGAAACACAACGTGCCAAATGAATGTCAAAGTTGACCGCTGAACAAAACTGCAGGCGCGATGTGATCAAAGATTCTTTTGATTTACATCGTCTTCAGGGCATCAAATTATTTTTTTTGCCACCAGCACATATCATAAGTCGATAACTATCACTTAGTAAAAGGCCAATAAATTTGATCGATCTTTCCAAAAGCTCTCACCGCGTTAAATATTTCAACAGGGCAACGAAACAAATCGAATCTGGTACGTTGACATAATGGCTACTTATCTAACAAATAATATGGAGCCAATAGTTGCAACTGAAGCATCACAGAAACATGTATGTATTATCAAGTTTCTTCCTAGATTTCGTTGGTCAAAAAGTTCGACTGCATGCGCCCTTGATGTTCATCATCAATTGTTGCTTTTAATCGAGAATAATCCAAATATGGCCGCGAAAAAGTTCACAAAAGGGTCTCAACTTGCACTATTCAAAGATTCTCTCGTTTATGTTTGAACGATACTCTGTGGGAAATTTCTTGTAAATTTCAAGTTTTTTTAAGGTAATTAAACAAAGATGTGGTTTACGGAATTTTGATGATACAGACCAAAAAGCGGGAGTTAGATGTAAATTTCGCGTCAACACGGATAATGAAATCAGTAGCCTCAAAATTACTGATTTTGGAAGCGCAGTGATGGCTTTCACTGCCCATGTAGGAATAATGATCAGAAGTGGTTGGTCATCGGAGATATTGAGCGTTAAAATACCGTTATTTTTGGACTTTGTCAAAACCAGAAAAAGTCGTCTTCACTTAAGGGAGAGGTAAGGGAAGAAATGAAATGAAAAAGTTAAAAACAATTCAATGTGTTTGATGTCTCATTGATATTTATAATACAACTTAGTTGATTGAATTTGCAGATGGCTTTTCGGTTTGTCACAGCAGCAATGTAAAGTTAGATAATTAATCATGCAAAAAATGCAGGAAATGGGGGTTTTCTTAGGGGAATCCTATATCTCCCAGGGAATTAAATATTTTGACCCATTATTTTCACACCTTTGTTAATCCCATGATACTTAGCATTTGTGCCAAGTTTGAGCCAAATCGGTGATTTGAGCATCATCGCCCCTGCCAGGTTCTGCCCGGTTTTCCGGTGAACGCGCTCTTAACCATATTGTAATACTTACAGAGAAACACGCAATCTACTGCTGCTGAAGAACACTTTTCCAAATCCACCAGCAGTTTGACAATAGTAGATGAAAGAAACATGACACTGTCCACTGATCATCATGCAAGTGTTTTTTAGTTGTATCAAATTTTTGTCGAAGTGTTCTTTAGCACAATACTGGATACATTTTCCAGTGGGTTGCTTTGGTCGCAATTTATCAGAAAGAATGTAGTCGTCAGGAACAGTCACTGTTTTCGGAATTTGCCATCTATTTTCTGACGTCAGGAGCCATCATTGTGGATGGAGATCGTAACCAGTCCATGTTAAGTACTTTTGTGGCTCATGTGTTGCTTGTTTGAATACGATTTGTAGAAAAAAATGCTAAAGATAAAATTAAGGCAGAAGAAAATTTAGCTTTCAAAACTTCGAAACTACTTATTTGCTGTCAGTAGTTTTCAGCATAGTAGATGAAGTTGTCTTTATGGAATGAGGCTTCTTGATATATCTTGATTACACAATAAGCGAAAACTTCGGGAGTTCATTTGATTGGCCTTTTGTGTTTTGGCAAACTCTTGAAAGAGAAATCTTGTGTAGCTTCGCCTTACACGAGAGAGGGAGAGAGAGTAAAAAAAAGATGAGTTGCGAGAATGTTTCACTGACTGAACTTCTTTGCGCTATATAATTGTTGAAATTTTTTGGCTAGTGTTGTCGTTGTAGAGTACTTTTATTTGAGTTTAATCATTTGACCAGCATCAAATAAGCTCATTTTTAAAGAAAAATTAGATAACAACAATGTTGATGATGAAGTTAAACGTACTATCGTACGTGTTTGGCTTTGCCTTGTCTCGTATAAATCCTAAAAATTTATATTTTTTTAAGTTCAATTCAGTACGCACTGTGAAGTTGATTCTTTGTACATTTAAAACTTCCCATGTTTATGTGACATCACTGAACAAGAAAGAAACTTTTTGATATGTGACTCTTATTGTCATCACCGGAATAAAAGATCTACATACCTTACTCGCTGCTGTCTTGTCTTGAGTCTTGTTTTTTGTGGGCGTTCTTTTTTTCTTCAAGGAATACGGAAATGGTACATCTTCCTTCTAATCTCAAAACTTAGGAAACTACAAACTTCGGTAGCATCAAATAGTGCGAGGATAGGTTAGGAAGCGTCAGTTTATTACAAGCGTGAGCTTTAAAGTTGTTTGATTTGTTTTTGTTTTTTTTTTTCTCCTTCAAGTGTCTTGCCCATGATTCGAAAAGTATTGTTAAAATGCTAGAACTACATTCAGTACAAGAGTCAATAGAGGTGAAGAAACCATTGCAAAGGTTGCATTGAAAGGAAAGCTCTTTGCTTTTACGAAAGTAACCGACTCACCTGTAGCTATTTGAATTAAAAAACGAATGTTCTCTTCCATTGCTTGGGAAACTTAAACATCTCGGTTTATAAGGATAAAAAATCTTTAAATATTTATCACGTTTGTGAAAGTGCGAGTTGATTGTTACAGTATGTTAGCAAAACAGCTATGCCATTGCGAAGAAAACTTGAGTTACCGAAATACTTGGCCTGGGAAAAGTTTGGTGCTTGAAACATTTATCTTGTGTGAGATTACGTAAACTGTGTGTTACACATAATTGGTGCTGTGACTAATTATGTTGTCTTTTTTGTCTACCTCTTACAAAGGCTGAGCTGAAAGAAACAGAAGTAAGGTTCAGAGATGAGTCAGATGGTGATAATGATGATGATGATGATGATGAGTCAACGCTCGGGAAAAAAGGTTTTTAATGGCAACTGATTTAGCGAATAATTAGCATAGTAGTAGTTGAGATTTTAACCCAATTTTTAATGTTCGCGAAATTTTATTGGCTTCTTTATGTCACGTAGTGCAAAATCCCTGGACGGTTTTTTCCCACAAAGAAAGCATAAAAAGTCAGCGGAAAAAAGCGAGCTCAATAATCTTACCTTGTTGTCTTTAATGTTTTACATGGAGTAGAACAATCTCGTCTCTTGGAGTCCAGTGTTTGTGATATTAAAACGCTTATCGCAAATGCTGTTCCTGAAAACACAGAAAAAAAGTCAATAAAATGCGCTTGATTTGACTAAGGCTCAGAGTATGTTCAGGTTCAGGTACATTGATTCATGCAACTCCTATCACTGAAACGTTTAAAAATTAATTACTGGTGTTTACTTTCTAATATTTTTACCAATAACATTCACAGAGCGGAGAGCTTCGTGTTTACATTTGGCAGCAATCGACTGCATACACTAAATGTAAACAAACTCAGTGCTTTTGAAGTTTTACTCGCTCGCGATCTGAGGCGGCTGTATCTTTTTTGCTCGCGTGAGTCTTCTCGGCGCTTCTCGATTCAGGTTTAATCTCGATGTTCAAACTGTTTCCGCTGATTCCAATAGGTTTTTGCTTCGGACTAAATTATTTTCGCCGCTTGCAAAGTCTAAAAATGTCATTAAATCAAATGGAGGAGTCAACTAAAAACCAGTATTTTCGATTCTGTTTATGATTAAAAAAAGGAATTTGAAAAGGTGCGTAAATGTCTGTGCATCTCCGTCTTATAGGTGAAAACAGAAAAACTTTGGCATTTTTGTATTACGCAAAAACACAATTGTTGACACCTTGAAATCTACCGATGCGAGTAAATATTTTTCAAAATTCCTAGTGTTAGTGAGAAATTGGAAAAACTTTCGATTTCAATAAAAACTTTTCGATGTTAGTAACAATAAATCTTAACCGACGAATACACCAACAATCATAACACAACAGAGTTCGTGTTAACTCGGCGGTGTCTTCACATATCTTCTTGAAATTCATTGATTCTAGAGGGAAATGTAGATATTTAGGAACGCTACTGGCTGGTAAATTTCATTATTTGTTGATTTCCATTAAAATCGGCATCATTCGACCATAAACTCAGAGGATTATAAAGTACTTTTTGTAATAGTCCCTGAAATGCTGTCCACGTTTTTGTAAAATTATACTCGTTTCTTTAGCATTTGAACACAGCAATATACTATAATTAAAAGTATAACAAGAAATCGATAAGCCGCTCGCAAGCTCGTAAGCTACGCATGTACGCATCGGAAACCCCTTTTTCGGACAGTAGCCGCGGACATTATCAGCCGACATACCAGCCACCTGAAGAGGTTTAGGAAGTAATTATATTCCACCCATTAATTTTCGCGCAATTGTATTGTGGTGGAAAATAACCGGACAGTTATCTCCGTCACAATATCCCCCGTTTACGACAGTTTTTGTCCTCCGATTATTTTCATAGAGATAAAAAAAGCCGAAATAAGAAAAGGCAGCCCATGAGTTCCATTCTTTCATCCTCATTAATTTGGATTGAAGGAAAAAGAAGTCGCTTAGTAGAGTCAGGTGATTGGTGAGACCAACTGAGCATACATAGTTATTTTTGGGATAGGTTCCCTTTTATTTATGCCGAAAATAAGCCTCAAATTAACTTGTTTTACAAATGTTTTGACAGAGGAGGAGCTACTTGGGGCCAAAGAAAAAACGATGGAAGGTATTTGTTATTATTGTTTACGTAATTAATTGGTACGCTCAATTGGTAGAGCGCTGCACTAGTATCGCAGAGGTCAGTGGTTCGAGTCCCGTACAGGCCTGAAATTTTTTTCAGGTCTGATTTTCACTATTGCTCAAATAGTGCTTTACTGCGAAGGATCGTGCCCATATACGTATTTATGCTTTCATAGCAGTTTTTGGGTGACATCTTTTTTTTAATTTTGCGAGGCACACTTTTTTCGGGTAAGATTGATTCTCCCTTGCCTCTCTAGTAAAATGGACGGAGCGCAGGTACTTGATACATATTTGTGCAAGTTTCCTTTCAGTCATTTGAAAAAGTAAACGAAGAACATTTCTTGAGTGACATCGTCCTTTTTCTTAATTTTTTATTTCTGAGAATATTGTATTACACATAGCCTATTCGAGAAAAATTTAATTTGTCCTCGTCACTGTGGGGAAAAGGAACTCGGAAGAGTAAATCAGACAAGTAAAAGGAAAAGTAACTCAGTAAAAACTTTTATTTTCAGAGGTGTCGGAAGAGAAGGAAAGTTTAGAAACCAAAGGCTCAATGACTGAAGGTATCTACATGTGGTATTTTAAGCCTTTCTACAACATCATGTGTTGTGAAATTTTGGAGACAATACCAAAAGCGAGGAATGTAGTCCAAAACGTAAACAGTTTCATCGATCTATTTAGAAATACAGTAGCAAATTTTTTGGACGAAGTCATGTACGGGCCAAGCCCACTATGGGGCAAGTCGAGTGATCCTCAAATGCGCGGGTAAGGAAATGCTCTCCCTGTAGCCGGGGCCAAACCTGTACATGCTGCCTGTGCATCGTCTTCCGTCAGACACAATGTGCATCAAAACTTGTAATTGAAAAATGCCCATTTACAAAGGTAATTGCTGTGAACACGATTGCTTGATTGGGTGTAACATTTCACGCGTTCGGAACACATCACGAACAGATGGACTGGCTAGTAGCGCACGATAAGCTGATTATATTCGAGAATTTATGGAAAAAAGTGATTTTAAAGGACAAAAGTAAACCACTAATAAACCATATCATTACTTTGTATCTCTGACTTACAGTGAAAATTAGACAAGACGTTGAAGCATCGAGCACCATGGAAATACCACAAGCCGAGTCCTCAACCCGGATGAAGAGTCTGTTGTATGCAGAATCGGAAGAGTTAGTGTCTACTGACTGTGTTAGACCATTTTTTTAATCTAAAAGGCTAAATCAAATTGGCCTGCCGAATAGGCGTGATTTTTAGCGTCTTTTAGTCGATCGGAGCTAAGCGTGAGGCGAACGCGTAGTGCGAGTCACGTGCGAGGGGAGGACTCCTCTCTTGCATGACTCGCGCTTGGCGCTTGCCACACGCTTGGCTCTGTTTTCATTAAAACACCGGTTCCGCAAGCTAAAGTATTTTGCAAAATGTGCCAGAATGGACAAATTATCGAGCGTAGCGATGTGAGGTCGGTGTTATAGTTATTGCAATTTCCTTTTCTCGGGGTCTCAACATTGCAATTAACCTGTTTGTGTCCCGTACGTAGAAAGTCGTCGCTAAAAAGAGTGTGGGAGATTGATCAAGCTGTTAATGTTATGTATTTTATTGACTAAGTACGAGGGTCATACTGGGAGAATATCGGCCCGAGGTCTTGACTGTAATTATTTTTAAGGCGAGGTCCGAGAAAAGACTGAGCAAGATAAACAGAATGAAACTTGTTATCAATAAGGTACTTTTTGATAAGAGAAGAAAAGGTAGATATATTTAATATGTATTTTGAAAACTTATATCATGTGTGCCAACCGTGTCATGTGTTAACTGAGTCAAATTTCAAGCTCTAATTTTTGTTAGGTGCAAGGTAGACCACCAAGGAACAACATGGAATCTTACGGACATACAGGCTGGTGGTTGTATAACATTCACTCAGGATGCTGTGTCAATGCCCCTTTTGTTTGGGTGCAAATTATTGGAGCCGACAGTAGAATTTCCACCTTTGAACAAGGATGAGAGGCTGGTTAGCAGTGTAATAGAGCTTACATGCGATGAACAGCCGGACATCCACTTCACTGGACAATCTAAGGGAGAGGTAGTGGTTGCCCTCTCTCACAGCGCCCCAAAACTTGAAGGCTATGAAGTTTTGATCGGAGAGTTAATCAGTTCTGACAGCAGCTATGAATGGAAAGATTTGGAGACAACAAACATTTGGCAAATACCAGGTAAGCGATTTAAGATGCCAAATAACTTGATGCTCTCCCTTCTTCCCGCTATCCTTTACGATCTTCAAAAGAACTTGATTATTTACCAACCCTACACGCAAACCTACCCATCCACCCATCAGCTACATGTACTTAACCATGTACAAGCGTATCCAGTTTTCCCACACACTCAGCCAAAGAACCAACTTTCTTTCCTATCTTTCCTTCCTCCTTTACGATCTTCAAAATTACTTGAATATTTACCTAAACAACACACAAACCTACCCATCTACCTATCAGCTACATGTACTTGCCCATGTACCCAATTATCTAGCTTTCCCGCGCACCTAGCTAAACAACCTCCTCTCTGCCTCCGTGCCTACCTACCTGTCTACCCACCTATTTATCTCCGCACGAACAGTTCCATCCAGGGACACCAAACCCTGTCTGTAACTCGCCATGCCAAACTTACCCATTAAATGCTTATCCATTTACCTTCGAGAGTTTATAATTAATGGTTATTGGATATAATATCATACATTTTTGATATGCTGGCATAAATTACCATTAGAGAGCACTAAACGTTTGAAAAGTAGCACACTGATGTTATTACTACATTCTCTGGCCCATAGAGCACCTCTGTACGTTTCACTATTTGTTCTCAAGTTATCGACAGTTATAAACACATCTTTTTGTAATCTTAAGGGTCTTCATGGCAGCTTAGGTTTAGACAGACAGTGAGTAATTTCCCCATCACTACTCAACTGTAATTTTTTTTCTGCCTTTTCCCTGTGACAGAGCCTGTGTGTAATTCGAGAATCAATCTTTATCTCTCATGATAGATATTAAAGACGATTTTGCAAAACTAAGGGTTCCCTATGCTGAGGCTAAAGTTACTACTTGTGGCGTGTTTGCTGTAATTTACCGCCTGAAATCCTACATATACTCGACCCGTGTGTCAGGAAATGAAGAAATTACTCACAAAATTCCTGAGTATCCAGAAGTGAGTGTGACAATCTCAGCAGAAAATGTCCGGGATAGAAGTAATCTGGAGTTGATTCTTAAGGTAAAGACGTACTTTTTGTAACATCTGAAACGGTTATCTGGAACGATCACTGCTTAAAACTGCTTGCCATAACGGGATTTCGTCACCACGTGTCTCCTATTTATAAATTTACCGTTTTCTGACTCAAGAACTCTCTGTAATTTTATTTTTGTACTCGTAACGTGTTCTTTCTGCCTTTGCAAATATTCGCGTAGTCGACTGTTTCCCTATATTACTTGAGTAGCAACAGAAGAACCAAACAAAGATTTGTAAACATGCTAAGCGCCGTAATTGACGTTATTTATAAAGTGAGCACAAGTTATTCCGAAATTTCACTTTCAATTCACGAAAGAACAGTTAGGCCCGGTTCAGACGCCGATCTTTTCATGAGCCGAACCTAACTCCTTGAATTAAGTACATGAAAAGATCGGTGTCTGAATCAATTTGGAACGGCTATTTCAATTTGGAACGGCTCACCCGTTCTTCCCGCCTGGTTGGCGGAGAATTTCGCCTTTAGAGCGCCTTTGGAACGGCTATAATTCAGACGCCGTACTTTTCATGTGCCGATCCTAATGCATAAATTGTTACAATGTATTTTGCAAGCAGTTTGACTGGTTTTACCGGAACTGAATTTGGAACGGCCAAAAAAGAACGGCGTCTGAATCAGAAGGCGTACTTTTGTTAATTTGGGTCGGTCCAAATTCGAATTGAGTTCGGCTCATGAAAAGTTCGGCGTCTGAACCGGGCCTTAGAGAGAAGTCTGGTAAATGGTTGGACATTGTTCAAATCGGTAGATGCCAGGACAGCTTTTGCTCAGCTCCGTTTTCTATTGCCTGATAAAACACGCCCTTTTAACCAATGGCAGCGCACGTTATATCCGAGCTTTATCATAAACCGTGTTAAACGGATACAGAGAAGGATAGACAAAGTCTAAGAACTTAAGATGTATGACCTTATGGAATTTGCATACCGTTCATCAACGGAGGTTACACTCTTGACTAGGTATTTATCTGATAAGATTAAGTACTAAAAATATTGTGCAATGATAGTTCACAGAATCAATTGATTTTACCTTTAAAAAAATGTATTAATGTTATTTTGGTGATTAGTCAAAAACTGAGTCAGAGTTGTGGACCGCTATCTAGGTTCAAGAAATCCCGCAGCAGTGGTTTGACTGTGGTGAAGAGTTTGCTGGACCTGTCCTTCACATTAAGTGCCCCCAAATAACGGACCTTGCGGAGCCAGCTACTATTACCCTTCCTTTGTTGCTACAAGGAGACAAAGATGAATTGTCGAAATTCTCCGCTACTGATCTAAGGGTGTTTAAATGTCGATCTGGTGACGAAAGAGCAGATTGGGATGAGATAACGATGCAACTTCCAAACGCAGTTGAGTTGATGAATGGTGTGGTGAGATTTCAAGTCAAACATTTCTGTCGGTATGGATAAGAAACCCTTTTCTTTATTTCGATCTGTTTCTCCAGACCATGTTAATTACCAGACCATATTAATTACATTTTCCACTTCATAGGGAAATCAACTCGTTTATTCCTTTACCAGGTTTGAGCTGTTTTGTTTTTTCAAAAGATAACAATATTGGAGACGTTTTCTTAACGAACAAATGCGATCTTCCTTTGATCATCCAGCAGGGATTATGCTATTATTTGGTTAAATTTTTGGTTCGCTTGACCAAAATGTTTTATTTTTCGATTGCTTTTATCTTCCTTCTCCACTGTTAGGGGGGCAGGTCTAATTCAGACGTTACCTTAGTTGTACATTTAAACCTGTCGGTTCATACTGCAGTATTATGTCACAAGTAGCAGTTTGGAAAGTTAAGACCGTAAAAAGTTTTTACCCCTGAAGACCAACCAACTAGACTCGTCTTTGTAGGTTTACGGTGTGGCCGTCAAAGAAACGCCGGCTCAGGGATAGACGTCTGGCTCATCGCATTAACCGCTTCACCAGGCCCTTCCCTTTGGAGGCTGGGTTCTTTGCATGCTTGTGCAACACAGTTGATATGTCACCTGGACATGCCCAGTTGAGACTTTATTGTTATCCAGCTCGTTTAGAACCCAAAGTTATAGAGAACGCATGCTCTGCACATGATATCGACCGTTACGGTAATGGGGATTCTCTACTTACACTCTTCCACGGTGATGAATTACGTGCCAAACTTTGGAGAGGATCGGAAGTGAAAAAGACGTTGAAACTCAGGTAAGACTAATGCCTTTAATCTTAGAAGTAGTATAGTAATAGTGATGAATTCTCTTAATTTTTCTTTATTGACAGAGCAAGCCCACTATGTTTTGAAAAAGGGTGACAGTCTTAATTATATATTCCACTTTCTAAGGAAATCAATTTGTTTATTCATTTATTAGGTTTGAGTTGTTTGTTTGTTCATGAAAATAGCTTGATGGCGTCCATTTTTGTCTCAACACAAAATTTCTTGGGCACTGAGCACGGTGCCAGTGCAACGTGAGAAAGTTGTGTTCGTGAGTTTGCTGTGTGAGTTTGCTGTGTCTGTTTGCTGCTCACAGAGCATTAACATNCTTAAAACCAGATGTGACCAATTTGATAAGCAAATGGAAGGCAGATTGTCAAAGTAGGGGAGTACATTATCGGGTTGTCTTCGTTAGTACCCCTGCCGGAGAGCAGGCGTACTAACGGCTTATTTGTTCTTTCAACATGACAAATGGGTCTTTACGTCGGAAAACCAAAAGAGAGTGCGGACTTTTGCTCTCAGGTGCAATGAACTATGGAATTTTTTTTTCATTCAGAGTGCGCTTAGCACAATGTATTACGCATTTTTTTTTGCCGTGAAATGTTCAGGATACTTAAACGATAACATGTAGATATTCGAGTCGTTTATTTTCCATGAATTTATTCGCAAGTATATGCTGCTGGTTAAAGAGGTGAGGAGAGTGCGACATTTAAGGCAATTGAATAAGTGAAGTTTGTTTGGGGTCGTGTTTTCCTTCTTAGCACATTACTGTTTAAAATTTCTGCGTGATTCAGGTTAGGATACCAAAAAAAAAAGCAAAAACAAAAAGAGATTTGCTTTGTCATACTTATGGAGTGTTCATTTTTAGGTTGTTCTATGTAGTGAAATGTTAGCTAGTCGACTAACCAACGATTTACTTCTTTTATCCAGGTTTCGTTATGATAGAAAATTTGAGGTTGATGCAATTGTACGAGTTCTGAATGAAGGTACGCCCCACGTGAAATTCCTCCAACATCTGAGAGAACAATCTCCACGAAAGCTGTGTGAACTTACAATTGCAACACAATGTCAAGTAAGACTTTTTCTCCGAGATTACATTTGTTACGAGGGTTTTCATGATAGCCTGCGAAACTGTTTTGTATGCGCTGATCGCACTATGCAAAACTTGTCATTTCATTCACAACGCTGAGAAAATATCGGGACCCAAGCGATCCATTAAGATCACCGATCACTTCACGAGCACCTCCGCCAACGTAATTTATTGCATAACTTGCACTTATTGTACATCGGCGAAACAGGAAGACGACTAGGTGACCGATTCCGAGAACACCTTCGCTACGTAGAAAGGAATTACAGGGACGCATCAAAACTAGTTGCTAGACACTTTAATTTGCCTAATCATTCTAAACAACATATGGCAATCTGCGGTCTTTCCTTGCATATAGGCAACACGGAAAACCGCAAAACTCTTGAACAAAAATTTATCTTTCAAATCGGCACTCTTAATCCCACAGGTACCAACGAACGCTTTTCATTGCACTAATTTATTTGTGTTTTTCTCGTCGCCATGTTCCCACCAATGGCGTAGCTCCGCTTTTCTGCATATAAACCCACATACAACCCACAATTCCTCCATTCGCTCTGACGAAGGGCTAGCGCTCGAAACGTCAGCTTTTTTATTCGTTACGGTGGCCAATTTACAATTTCAACTTAGTTGATATAACCAANTGTCTAATCGCAGCCACAACGCTCATCGCTTAGCGTTCTCTAGTCAAAAGCGGGCAAAGAACCTCCAGCCACGCAGGCTATTGTTATGACTGTTCGGCTAACCGCTTAAATGTAGTTAAATGATGACTCAGTGATGACAAAAACAACCACAAGTAGAATTAAAAATAAGTATTAGGTTCGTGCATTGTCTCAAGCGGCAATACATGAGATTTAATTTTCATAAAGGTTGGGAATTAGATCTTCCTTGAAATCAAATACGTCTTCGTGTTTATCTTCTAGAGAAAAGCCAGGGATCCTCATCATGGTAAGTAGAGCCAATATGTTCAAAGTCTATACGTTAGAATGTTACTAAAGGGAAACGAGGTGTCATATCCATCACTATTTTTATTTTTTTGTTTGTTTGTTTTTTTGAATGGTTTTCAATTTCCCCTTTCACTCCGTTACGTTGTAGGAAACCTGCAACAAAACCTGAGACTAGAAACTCCAGAAATGCATAAAAATCACCTTGATTTTTTTTATTTATTTATATACGTGCTAAACGAAAAATACGATGTCTTTTATCGATTTCTCTGGTCATTATGAAACCTGAAATGAGCGCCATTTTTTCGTATGTTGCGCACCATTTGTAAGATTTCGCTCAAAATTTCCTTCTGTTGTTTCACTTTTCTCGAAAGAGTCAAAACAAGAAATTCTCCAGGTTTTTTTTCGGAGTCTCTTCCTTTTCATCCAAAAACAAAACTGTAGCATTATTCACTCGTATCTCGTCTTAATGCTTTCTTGTGAAGTTTTTTCGATTTCAGCCAAACAGGAAGTGCCCAATAGCGAGGAATTAGAGCGGCTTTCGCAGCAGGTGCCCAGTAACGAGTAACTAGAGTGGCTTTCGCAGCAGGTGCCCAGTAACGAGGAACTAGAGTGGCTTTCGCACAAACTCAAGAGGTGGAAGACAGTCGGACGTCGTCTCGGAATTGAGGAGGCAACTTTAACGGCGATTAGCAAAGAAAATGAGGAATACTTTGAAAAAACTTACCAAATGTTACTAAATTGGAAAGGGAGGGAAAGCTCAGCTGCAACATATCAAGTGATTCATGAGGCACTATGTCATGAATTGGTTGAACGCGCAGATTTAGCGGACGAACTTTACAGTCGCAAACTTAGATGACAGCGTACTCTGTTTATTTAAGTTCCTTTTCATAGATATATTTTATTTTTATAATAGCATTCTGTTAAAATGCTGTTCGTCAAAGAATTTTTACTGATTATTCATTTGCTTAAATAGTGTTCTTTACTGAGAGGATCGTGAACAAATACGTTTCTATAACCGCAGTTCAGATATATAAATTTCATATATTCGATTTGTTTGATTTATCATCTTACGGGTTTATGCCGAATTAATTTGATGAGCTGCTCCCATTTGGCTTGTTAGCTCAATTGGTAGAGCGCTGCACTAGTATCGCAGAGGTCAGTGGTTCGAATCCCGTGCAGACCTGAAATTTTTTCAGGTCTGATCTTCACTATTGCTTAAATAGTGTTCTCTACCGCGAGGATCGTGCACAAATATGTTTCTATAACCGCAGTTCAGATATATGAATTTCATATATTCGTTGTGTATGATTTTGGTCAGTTGATAAATCATCTTAGTATCTAGACCAGTCTAGAAAAAAAAAGGTACAAAAAGTATAAAAACTTATTGGCATATAAGACACAGCCATATAATAAACATCTTATTAACTGAGCTAGGTCGGTCTGTATGGGAGAATCTTGACCTCAGTCGCTGGTACAGATACAGTGTTCAGCGACCTCAGTCGCTGGTACAGTACAGTGTTCATTACGGCGAAGATCATCATCATCATCATCATCTTTATTTGCCTTATTTTAACAATTAAAAAAATAGTTAATTACAGCGATAACAGTTAGAAGGCGAGGAGACCCAAGAAGCCACCAGGCTTATGGGAGAGCCACCTCACTTAGAATAATAAATTAAGTAAAGAAAAAGTGCTGCGAATGTGCGGCTTGGCCAATTCAGTGATTATTTAAGTAAAAACTCTTGCAATTTCGCTTTAAAGCTAAGAAAGTTTGACGAACGAGTGACTGAAATAGGGAGAGAGTTCCAAATTTTAGGACCTTGGTAGAGAATTGTAAACTGCTTGACATTTGTACGGCACAAATGCGTTCGATAATTACTGGCTGTTCTGGTACCATAGTTGTGAATTTGGCTATTCCTTACAAAAAGATCGAGAAGCAATGGGGGCAATAAGTTATTTTTGAAATAAAACATAAATTTAGCGATTTCAAACGTATTGACTTGGAAAATATCTAAAATTCCTAGTTTGGAGAATAAAGGGGCAGAGTGGTCTCGATAGTCTGAGTTGGTGATAGCCCGCACAGCTCGCTTTTGCAAATAATAAATTCTATTTAAGTTAGATACGTATGTGGACGACCAGACGGAGTTACAATAGACGATATAAGGATAAACTAAGGTGTAATACAAAGTGAGCTTGGTTGCAGAGGATAGGGAAAAGCGAGACCTAAATATAATACCTATTGATTTAGCGATTTGTTTACATACATAGCTGATATGGTATTTCCAGGTGAGATGATTGTCAATATAGACCCCAAGGAATTTAGTTACATTAGCTTGTTGTAGGGGTTTACCTCCAAAGGAGAGAGAAATGCTGGAGTTAAATTTCTTCTGTCTGGGTTTAAAAATTATATAGTTGGTTTTCTTTACATTAACTGAAAGCTTGTTACATTTTAGCCAAACGTCAATGTTTTGGAGTTCATCATTAAGTATAGATTCTAAGCAATTTAGATTTGAGTGAGAATAAAAGATACTGGTGTCATCAGCGAAAAGTAGAGGGTCTGNNNGATGAAATACCCAGGTGTTGAACCTCAAACCTCAGCAGCTGAGCCTGTAACAAAAACACAAGCACTGCTGGTAGAAATCAAAAGGTGGAAAAAATTCATCGACATGCGCCACTCTTCATTTCTTCGCTTTTGTTTTCCTTTTGTCGGTTGATGTCTTTTGCCACTTATTGGTAAATGCAAGAAAATACAGTCTTCCATGTGGGGAAATTTAAACGACTAATAAAAAGACATCAGCAAAGAATGAATCAAATTAGTTAAGTTCTTAAGCGGGTAATTTGAATTCAGACATTCTCAGCAAAACTCAGTGTGGTAGGTTCGACGTTTGCTGTTTATGAAATGTCACCATTAGAACTTTTAGTTTGTTAGCAGACAGGTTAAAGATTTTTATTTTCTTCCCAATTTCACTTTAACAATTTTTTTTTTCTTGTATGCTTAGGCTGTGAGTCTTATGGTTAGAGCTATTTAAAACTTGAAAATTATCCGCTAATGTTTTTTATTGTAATAATGTCTATTTCCGATCCGAAGCGCAAATCAGTTTACAATTTTTTGGATCTTCATTTCGATTTGGTCTCAAACAGACAGTGGGCCTACCGATCCGGGCATTCAATGGAATACCTGATGATTCATCACAAAGAATCTTGAAGATCAGCTCTTGACTGTGGAAAATTTGTAGCAGTGGCGTTCATCGACTTCAGGAAAGCTTTCGATAGCGTCTCACAGCTGCATAATTATGAAGCTAGAAAGACATTTCGGAATCAAGGGATCAACCCTCGATTGGTTAAAGAGTTATTTGCAAGGGCGAAAACAGTTCACAGAGTTAAATGGAGTTAAGTCAGACCTTCTCCCAGTATCCATGGGGATACCTCAAGGATCAGTGCTAGGACCGACCCTGTTCCCACTATTCACAAATGACCTGCCACTATCTGTCCGGTCGGGGTCTGTGTATCTGTTTGCAGATGACACCACGGTCTTCTGTATAGGCGACACGGCAGACGAGGCCATCGCAAAGTTGAATGGAGCATTGAAGGAGGTTTATGACTGGTGTGGTAGAAACCAGGTAACAACCCACCCAAGGAAGAGCGAAGCGATGCTACTTTGTAGGGGAAACCCAATGGGACCGATAGCTGCGGTGTTGTTGGGTGACTCCAGTATAAACTGGGTGACTAAAGCACGCGTGTTAGACTTGACAGTCGACCACAAGTTAACATGGGATGAACATTTAATGGATGTTAAGAAGAGTTTTGCTAGCAAACTAGACCTGTTAAAACGATCTAGATTCTTGCCAAAGAGCGTTTTGAGA